TTTTTAACTTAAAATTAAAAAAAAAAAAAAAAAAAAAAAAAAAAAAAAAAAAAAAAAAAACTTAAGTAAGTCATTTAAGATTTATGACTGTGAATGGAGGAGAAACCTAATGGTTTTAATAAAATGCACAATAGACAAAAAGAAAGAGATAAAGTCATTTTATTGGTTCAATTAAAATGGAGAGAGGAGAAAGAGAACAAATCCCTTAATTATAATTATCTTATGAAACATTCCACAAAAGAAGATGATTTAAGCACAAGCACATGTTTAAAGATTATAATGGGCAAGTTTATAGATTCTTTGCAATAAGCATCAGGAATTAAAACTTTTTTTTTTTAGTTCTGCGGATTAAATTTGCAGGTTTGCTCTCTTACTAGCACTGAAATAATTTTGTTTCTAAAAAGTGATCACAATACTGGGTGATGTCTGCAGAGGGGCCGAGTACTGATCCAGGACTCCTCCTTGCTGGGCCTCAAAATGAGGCTGTCACTGTTCTGCCCTTCAGGGGCTGGGTTGGACGGTGGTTGGTCAGAATAGGAACAGCCGCCTCTCCCTCTGCATTTGATAGAACACTTCGGAGCTGTGCCAGCTGTGGGGAGAGACATTTAAAGGATGAAAAGCTGTTAAAGTCCCAGAAAGCACTTTGTTTCCAGAGAACTTAATGCTCTGTTGCTTAGAAAGCAGTTGAGGATAGTGGCGATTTTCTTAGTGGGCGGGAAGTGGTTGCACTCATTTTTCTGCCTCTGCAAAGGTATTTTGCCTAAATGAGGCATAGCTGGCTCTCTGTAAGAATACCAGCTTTCTCTTTGTTAGCTGGGGAGATTGTATAAGTGATATGTCATGCCAGCACCCCTTAATTTCATATAGCATCTCCTTTGGGTGGCTGTTGTTAAGATTAAATGCTTTAATCCATGCAAAGGGCCCATAGTTGGGTTGGGTGTACAAAACATCAATTAACATGGGGTACAATATTGTGAGAAACACAAGACATCTCAGGAAAGTAGCTGTTCCTTCAGCCATCAGCAACATCTTTAGAAACAATAAGCAAGAAGGTACTTTGTGACATATTTTAGGACTTTAGCTAGAAAATCCGAAACTATTTGACCAACTGTTCAGTAAGGCCCAGTGAGGGCACGATAGAAGTTCCAAGGAAAAGTTCACTGTTCCTGACATTGGAAGAAACCACCTAACAAGTACCACCTAACAAGTGTTGGCTTTTCTTTATGAAGAACAGCAGAAATTTGGAACCTCATGCATTTATTTATGCACACAGTAGGAACAGTTATTGCATGGACTTTTGTTTTTTATTTTTGAAAACTTGGGATCCTTCACTAAAAGCAAATCCATTTCAGTTGGTACCTGTTCGGGGCTGACACTGATGCTCTCCTTGCAGATGAACCAGGTGACACTCTCATGAAGAGGAGGGTGAGTCAGAGAGCCAAAGTAAGTCCAGTAATCCAGGGATGAAGGAAGGAGACAGGATGGGTCAAAATTTGTGAATGGGGCTCGTTTCCCCTGGGAACAAAAGCAGTATATGTCATGCTATAAAATGCATCAATGTATTCCCCCTTATATATTACCTAGATATATTAGGTGCATTAAAAATTTCTACTATACTTGCTTTATGACAGGTATGTTTTTGAATATGAACAATAAAAAGGATGTAAACATACTATATGGAAGTTTTGGACATTAAATCTTCCTTTTATTTTGGTGGATAAGAAGAAAATCCTAAAAACTTTTCTGTAACTTGTATTTATCAAAAGAACTTAATATTCATTAGGAAACATTTAAATATCTTTGGATAATGCTCTACCCTGTGCTAGGGGCAACGGCATTCATGAGACCACAATTGCATTTACTCTTATTTATTCCCATGAATTTTTCAGATTTTATAAAGAAAATGAACAGATATTTGTATGGTAATTTTTTGTGCAACCAGTTTTAGCAGACTTTGTATCAATTTCATTTTTCAGTTGATTTTTTAAAGTTTTCCAGGTAAACACAGTTAACATATCATCAATACATGGTGATAATTTTGTTTTTGCTTTCCCAGTACTTAGCTTTTTATTTTGTTCTTTAATTGTGTAATGGTTAAAATTTTAATTACGATGTTAATTGTTCTTTTTCTTGATTACAGTAGAACAACTTCAGTTGGAGAAGCTGATGATGGGAATTTTCATATTTAATCCCATAATACAATGCTTCTACTCAAAGATGTTCTTACACTAAACCATCCACATCTAGAATGAACTCTACTTGTTCAAAAATATGACTTTATCAATATGCTATTGTAAGTGATTTGGTATAATTATTTTATATATTGATTTTCATAATTATTTTGTTTTTTTTGTTTTGTTCATGGCAAATCTGTTGAGCCATCTACCTCACTTGATTGTTTCTTAAAGGCTGAATAAATTTTCTTATAAATTAGACTGGGCATGGAATTCTGTTTAATAGATATATGTTCACTGTCTTTTCAAATTATTCTTAGAGTTTTGGTCTATTTGGTTTTTCTTTTGGTTCATTTTTATAATTTGTGTTTTCTTGAATGTCACTCATTTTATCTGACTTTTCAAATTTATTGATACACTGTTGTATTGATTCAAAAATTTTCTTCCTCATTTATACTATATTTTCTAAGCTTTGAATACAGTTTCTTACACTTACTAATGAATTAACGTATGCATTTCTCTGTAGGCATATGTGTGTGAATGCACTGTGGAGGTCACTGGACAACCTGCAGGAGGAAGTTCTTTCTTTCCATTAGGTCAGCTTCAGCGGTTCAAGCAATCACCTTTACCTGCTGAGCCATCTTGCTAGTCCCTCTAATAGTGTTTGGTATTTATGCCAGTTTTCCTTTACCAAAGCTGCCCAAATCATTCTTTTTTGCTGCTGTTTATTCAATAGAATAAAATTTTCATTAATTGATAAAATAGTGTTTTGTATTTATCTGTCATTTTACTATTTTCTGCTTTTATCCTCACTATTTCCTTCTAGTTTTATTTCTATATAATTTTGACACTCGGGTAGAGTTTAAAAATATTCCATCTCTCACTTTACAATATGCTTACTCAAAGTTCTTTTCTGAACTCAGCATAAAACAAACTTATTTTGAATAAAAACACAATAGGTCTTCACACTGTGAAAGAAAATGCCAAACCACTTTGACCTTCAGAATAAGGAATTATTGGGGGTTTCAGAAAATCCATTAAGGGTTTTGTGTTTAGTTCAGAATCATATTTCTCAAATAGGGATCTTCATATCCATAGTTTTGAACTAATAAAGAAATCAAGATATTTCTTTTCATGAAACATAAAGTTATCACTAGAGTATGATTGGTTTTTAGCAGATCTAAAAGTGACTGGATAATGTGTTTAATGAAAGGAGCAAGCACCATGAAGAAAAAGCAAAACCATTAGGTTCTCCAGTGAGAGTAAGGTCTCCATGGCACATTGTGGCATGTTGGCTTCTATGCCTGTCTTCCTGTTTCACATTCATAACAGGCAACTAGATGATTTATGTAATTCTGTTTATTCTTTTTTCAGAACGAAATTAGTTTATTTAGCTGATTTACCTTAGTTTTAACTGAGTTTAGGGCATCGAGTACTTTCTGCACGTTTGGGTTGGCTGGACCAACCTAGCAAATTAAAACAAAAAGAAAGAAAATATGAGTTGATTGTAATTAATAAAATACTCTCTAGTCAAAATTTAATTTTTCAATTAACATCAATAACTGAAGCGGGAGACTTGGAATTTCTTTCTGCTTCAAGAGACAAATTTTCTGAATTATGTACTTTTATGGGATCTTATACTCTGCCAGTTTCTCATCAGGGATAATCACAGACAAAATAGTAAACAGAAAATATGGCATAAATTTAATTGTGAACAAGAAGACCCACGGTATGTAAGATAGACTCTAGATGTTTATCAAAATAATGACACAAAAATTGCATAGTCATTTTTATCTATTATGTTAGTTATACTTGATGCATTTTTTGTCATATTTTGAATAAGTGTTTGATAAAAGTCACCTTCAAATACTATAATCTCAAAAATTACTTAGTCATCCCATCTTATCCAATTTAATTATGGCTTTTTTCAGAGCATCTCTTCAATGATAATATAAATTTAAATGATAAGAAGTTCACAACATTTGCCATTTTAAAAATCAAGTAACAGCTATGTAAGTATCCATGACTCACCTTCAAAAAAACACCAAGGATTGCCATCCCATCAGGTTTTGAGACAGCTTCAGCAGCACTGGAGTACTTTGCAGAATTCCAGTGAACTAGGTGAAGCTAGAATTGGTGACATATAAGTAATTCATTATTAACATTGATGCAAAGGAAGATACAGAAGATTAATTACATGTTAATTTGTTATATTTAAGATGTGTCATGGTATAGATGGATAAAATCAATGTGAACTCTCATCTTGCAGGCAACTAACTTTAGGATAAAAGATGAAATCATTTTCTCTCACATGAGATAATTTTGTAAGAAGCCCCTTGACTCCTTGGAAGCTTGGGCACAATGGTGTCTTTACCAGGATACTCTCAGTCAAATTCTGCAGCCTAAACTCTTAGTGGAATTTTAGGCTTGTACATCCACATATTCCTGGATGTGTTCCTGATACTGTTTGGATATTTCCAAGTGAATGTCTAACAGATATCTGTGGAGTCACATGGCTAATAGAAAGCTCAATTCCTCATAACATATCTGTCATTTTCTTCTCTTAGGAACGGTAATATGGGGCACATAATTTCTAAATCAAAAAGTACCACAATTATTACATATCCCTTATTTTACGCATTTATCAGCCTTCATGCCTAGCAGATTATATACCTCCTCACTTGGTCATAGCATGGGGGGTTTTGTATTACCTGCTGACTTCCTGGAATTTCCTTCCTTTGTTTCTACAATTAGGACTGAACTCAAATGTCATACTCAGTGAATTGATTACCCAATATAAAGTTGTCACTATAACTTAAATCTATTCTTTTCATGCGTTTATCTGATCTCTTCTTTTCATCTACACCATCCATCGCTTTCCTTTTTTACCTCACTTCTTTTAAAAGAATCACAATGTAGATTCTGACTCAGTTACTTTAAAAACAAAAATTTAGAATATTTTAAAGGATCAATAAATAGTTGATAAATAGAGTAATTCAAACACTCATTTTGAGACAGATCACTCTGCAGTCCTAATTTAAGCCTTGTCTCATTGTCATTTATTCTTCCCATTCATTGACAATTCTTTGCAAGCACTCACACTGCCATTTAGTACTATTTATTTAATCCCACCATTGATTCACATGTTATTTCCTCTGCAGAACTACAGGTAATATTATAAAGCACTTATGATGTGGAAGCTGGTTTAAGTGTATGAGGAAAATGATGGCTATAGTTAGTACCTAAGTATATATGAGAAAAGCCACACAGCCAATAAGAGGCTCAGCTTTGACTCCATGAAAGTCAAGGAAGGAGCTTGCACTTCTCACCCATTACCTGTACTACCTCTTGAACCTGGTGGGTGCCCTAGACAAGTTTTTGGGCTGAATATTAGATAACATGATGAATTTTTGACTAAATGTTTTTATCATTGGCTTAGATTATTTTTTCTCAATTTAGCTGAGTGAATATAATCCTTGATTTAGATTCCATGAATATTTACAAGCATCCTTCCCAAAACATAATACTTTAGGCTTCTATTCCACTTTAGTCTACCTTCACTTTTGCATAGGGGAAAGTAGGAATGAGTTTTTATAGTCTTTGGCAGCACTAAAAGGTATTATTTAAACTTTACAAAATAAAACAAGGTATAGCTGTATTCAACCACCTAGCATATAATTCTATCACAATAAACTTCATATATTTTATAACCTCTTTTGTGAGAAATTTCTCTTATATAATTACTTCAATTGGTATTTCAGATACAGGTATAATGTATTCATTGAAGGATTGTCTGATTAAAAACAAAACAACAACAAAACTCACAGTGAGACTATAATAAGCAAATATTATAATTATCCGTCATACAGGTTAGTTAAATAAATTTTGATGAATCCATACAATTAAAATACCAAGCAGTTATTTTTTAAAAGAGGTAGAATTACACCTTCTGACTTGGAAAGTGATGACAATACATTGGTAAGTGGAAAAAGGCAAGTTTCAAAAACACATGCATTATAAGATCCATTTTGCCAACTTAAGACTAAAAAAACCATCTCATCTGTCTGGAACCATAGTTAGGGACACACACTATGTATTCACACAAATAGTGAAGAATTTTATCTTTTTCATCTCTGCAGAAGGTGAAATTGTTGACTTTGATGCATGTGTGTCCAGTGTTTTAAAGGAAATATAGATATAATATCTAGGAATAGATCCCAGATTTCCATGGGAGGAAAGATCAACAGGTGCCCGAAAGTGACCTGTTATCAGAGACTCTTACAAGCTTCTTGAAACCAGTAAATCTCAGCTCTGTGCTTACCGTCCAGTGCTTTGTACTGTGTTACTTCAGTGCTCCCGCCTGGACATGCACATGCACATGCTATCACTGGGTCCAGATTTGAGAAGTTAAGTAAAAGGAGCACAGTGAGATATCCAGTGCAGTTAAAGAGTTAACGAATGTTAGAACAATCCTTGAAGCCAGCAAGCTTTTAACGTTTCTCCTGAACTCTCACCTACAAGTTCAGGGTTTCCTTTCCATAGAAAGTTAGCTTCGGGCTGGAGAGAAAGCTCAGCCATTAAGGGGTAGGCTCACAACCAAAAGTATAAGAAAATTCTCCCTCTACTGTAACATATAGTGTGCTAGTGTTAGATTTTAATGGATCTATGTATCTGTCACACAAAGAGCAGCAAGCTCTCCTCTTTGAGATATTCTAATAGTAGCTTCTCTAGTACCAGAGCTGTTTCTGGGGTACACTCATGAGTTCCTCTCATTAACATATCCCATTACCTCTCCAGAAAATTTGACTCCATCCAGAGTGTGCTCAGATCCATGGTCGTTTGAGTTGCCCCAGTGAAAATGGAACTGGGTGAGCCGATAGCTCTCAGAGAGAGGGCCACCTTTCAGAACTGCAAGGGAGGAGAGGTACTGTCAGTCAGGTGATCTCTAGTTCATCTTTGATATAAATCAATGCTACATTGTGTTGTGTGAAATAGAAACAAACACCAGTGGGTGCCAACATTTTGGTTTCACTGTGTTTCCCCATTCCACATCCTGATGATGACACTCTTATATATAGTGACTTCCTCATTATGGCAGCAATAGCAATAGCTCATAAAATAAACACAAATTCCACAAAAGGAACCACAAATTTACCATTTATGTTACCAAGATGACATTTCAAAGTGAATAAGTTATATGATCACAGGTTTTCCTTGGATTTGAGACTTTCCATTAATTTGAAAGTTTATTTCTTCATTCAACCTTACTGTGTGGATAGTATACACAATTATTATTAATTAAAAATTTCCTGTCACCTGTTTTTTTAAATAACTGTTGAAGATATAACAATGTAGTTTGACAAATTTGGTGAGACCCACTGGCCAGGGACCAAAAGATACTGCCTGTGGGGGAAGACCACTTTAAAAACATTTGCTCTGAATGACTGTCCAGCCTGGGCAGTTTGTCCATTTGTATGATTACTTAAGCAATAAAGGTGCTAGATCTAACCCAGTATTAACAAGGGGCACGCACCTAATGTACCTAACATTTAAAATTAGAACTTTGTAAGGAAGTAGGGCAAGCATAGTATTTCACATCACCGGAACTCTTGCAGAGCAATCCCTTAACAACTTATTCAATAAATACTGATGAAAAGCTGACCACGAGGCAAGCAACATGCCAGATTCTCAGGTATGAGGGGGACTCATGTAAGCTCACCCACACTCATCATGTTTAGAGTATCTCTTTTTTGGTTTCATGTTCATAATGATATACTCACTAGACTCTTTTGGAGAAAAGTTGCTTCTTCAGAGATATAAGGATAAAAATTCTGGAATGGCCAGAATATGTAAGATGGCTCATCAAGAAGGAGAAGGATTTCGAGAAAGCAGAGCTTCCAAGTGTATACAATGCCTCTCAGACACTGAAATTTTAAGATACAGAAATACATGTGCAAAATGGTGTGGTGTTTCTGAAGCTACTCTGGCTCTTTGGCCTGCTCTTGGACTTTTCTTCTATGGGGTTGCCTTGTTCAGCCTCAGTATGAGTGCCCTTGCCTTGTCTTTTGTATCCTGTTTGCTGTGTTTGGAGGGTTGATCTTTTCTGAAGGGAAGTGGAGGTGCCTCTGGGAGAGAGAGGAGGTGGGGAAGATCTGGGAGGAGAGGAGGGAGGAAAAACTGTGGCTGGGATGTATTGTATGAGAGAAGAATAATTTTTTAACAAAATTCATTTAGTAGATTCTAAGGAAATAAATATTATCATTGGCTTTGGGCTCACCAGATTGGTTACCACTGTCATCAAATAATACTTGGAAGGAATGTCCCACATTAACAATTTCTTTGGCAGTTGCAGGATTATAGGAGACACCAATAGGTTTCAGAGAGCTGTCATGTTTGGCTTCACTGGTTTTAATGTCGATAGGAGACTGGTTGTTTCCATTGGCAATGGGATACAGCTTGCTCCATTGGTCAGGACCTATGGGAACAAACATGTCCATGTAACCACAATTTTACAGAATTCTTCATTCCAAGTAGCAGGACTTCAACCATTTGCTTATTAGATTATGGTTTATCCAGGTATCTTAAATGGCATTCAGTGCTTGAAAATTATCTTCTGTTACTATAATAATAAACAGTATATTTAGCAATATAAACAATTCAGGCCTAATTATACTGTCTATTCAATTATAGTATAGAAATAGTATGTATATACCAAATACATTTTGTAGATCTTCATGACCAAAGACTACCTACTAAAAATACATGTAAGGATATTGCAATTATTCAAAAGTGACACAAGCCATTAACCTGTCACTATACAGTTAAGTTAAATGATTAGTAAACTCAATATAAGAAATGGGAATAAGCTGCTATTTTGATAAATGTAAAAGAAATACTCTTACCATTTTTGCCATCATATCCCCAGTTTGCACTTGCCATGATATCCTATTTAGTTTTGGTTCCTGAAAAGAGAAATGATACGTGGAATAACCAACTGTACCTGTGCCTGCAGCAGAGATCTTAGGCAGCACTGTCGGTTTTTATAGAAACTTGTCTGCCTGTAATAGCACACTCTTTCATCATCTCTGCTTATCAGGAAGTATACATATAAAAATAAATGGTATTGTAAAAAGGTGTCTATCAATTTTAGGTCAGCTCTAATTGTTTTATTTTATTGTTATATAAAATGAAATATCAAAATCATAGATGCTATTAAACTAGTCTTGTTCTCCTATGCTTATGGAAGACCTGACTGAATATTGACTGAAGCTGATCAAATTTCCTAGAACAAAAAGTACTTTGTGCACTTAGGATTTCTAGTGATTCTATAACTGGATAACTAAACAATGTTAGTAACAATAATTTAAAACGGAAATGAATTTGCATGGTTATGGGCTGAAATGAATGAGTTTCATGGTGTTAATTTAGAATCAGGTAATAGAATCAGCAATTAATTATTGGTAACATAATATTATTCATAATGACACATTTTATAAAACACAAATATATTTTATAGGTAAATTCTGAAGAACTTGTTAATGTGAGACATTCTTCCAATGTAAACTTTTGAACAATAATAACTAGTCAGATTAGAGAAAGGCCCTTTGTTCTGGAGAAGTGTTGGAATTCATAACTGGGAAGATTATATTAATATCAAAGCTGAATATGGTATAATATTTTTCCACCTAGAATAAAATATGTCTTCTTTGTAGTTCTCTGCAATTTATACATCATTTTCATATTGTTTTATTTTATTTTCACACATATAAATGCTATAAAAGTAAGAATTATCATTTTGTAGCTAAGGGATGTTAGCTATACAACTCGCAAGAAGTCAGGACCCAGCCTCTAGTTCAGTTGCCTCCTTCACTCCATCACTGCCCGTGTCACTGTGGGTAAAGCATGGATTCATGATCCCTGGTTCTGCTGCTGGCTCCATAGTGTTCATAAGCTCAGTCGGAGTATGCACCAACGTGAGAATTCAGCTTGCTCACTCATGCACTGTTGAGTGGTGAGAAGCTGCACAACACTTTGCAGAAAGGCAAACGAAGCTGACCGGGATATGTCAAGTTTTGGCTAAGCCCTTCTTACATGCCTCCAAGTAATGTACTTTTGAAATAAAACCAGGCCCATAAGCTTCTGAAATAATGGGTTCATTTCTTCCTTATCTGCAGAACTGTCTGAACTATCATGAGCCACAAAGGAAGACCGGCAGAAAAGCATGCTTAACCAGGCCCAGCAGTCATGCTGTTGCTCCTTAATGCTGATTATTGTTTCCTGCTTTAGGAGGAAGTGGCCAGCAGCTTGTGGATATCCAGAGGGTAAGGAGACTACAGTTCCCATCCTATGATCCTAGTATCAGGAGGCACAGCTTGAAAAATAGCTTATTTTTATCCAAATTTTAATTTTTTAATCTGATGAACAACATTATGGATTTTTCACATACAACATCATGTTTCACAGCACATGTGCTTTTTAAAACAGTTAAATCCAGTTAATGATCACATGACCTACAGTTGATTTTGTACTTAATGTCCACTCTCTTCATTTTTAGGAATATAATCCACCACCGTTAACTACAGCCACATTGTTCTACAATTCCTGTCTAAGTGTAACTAAGTGTCTTTTATTCATCTCTTTAAATTTAAACTGAACTACTACATTAACCAATGCATTTGAAAAGGAACAGCATTCTTGCATTATTACATGATGATTCAGTATAGGAATGGCTTAACATTTATACGGTATGGTAATTCATTTAAAGTTTTAAGGACAAAACTGCCTTGACTCTTACCTCCATGACCCTTTATTTTATTATGTACTCAGGGCATGTTCAAGTATTCTCACAAGGAAAGAATTAAAGAGAGAAAGAGAGAGTTGTAAAATTTAATGAGGGCTCAGTCCTAACACTGTCTCATAAACTGACTCCCTCATTTTTAAATCTAAGCTAAAGGAAAGGTATTTAATTTTTTATTCACTGGACTTTAATACATAGGCCTCTTCCATTATACTTCCCAAAGATTATAACATTTGTATTGCTTTTGCATTCTGACAAGATGCTCAGTCTATTTACTCTTCTGAACAGCTTATTTCTTGAAACCATCAAAAGTACATATGGAAAAAAGCATTTTACTTTTTCTGATAAGCTGCTCTGAAGGAAGCCATATGCTCCTGAAACTTAATCATCAATCACCTAGATTGATGGAGGAAAACTTGCACTTTTTAGAAAAGCAATGAAAAATTACATAAGTAATTTTTCCTAGAGAATTGCCTAACTGATAATATTAAGAGTATTCAAAAGTGCTAAAAGTTTTCCAGTAATAAGAACTAGTACACAGATTATTCATGCTACAGGTTAGCAGTGGGGGCTAGAAAAGAGTACTGTTTATTGAATGGTATCAATCTTTGGGGCCTTTAAAATAATGATCTCATTCAATCTTCATAACAGACTTTAGAAGTTAGGATCAACTCTTGCTTTTATTTATTCTGTAAGCTGATGAATGGACCTATGGCTTCATGTATGCTAAGCAAGCTCTTGTGCCAAGTTAAAATCTTCAGTATTCTTTTCCTTCTCTTGCTTTTTATTTCAGATAGAGTCTCACTAAGTTGCCCAGGATGCTTTGAACCCATTTGATACCTCAGTCAGGCCTTGAGCTTGTGGCTTTCTCCTCAGCCACCCAAGTAGCTGTGGTCTGGCTATCATCTGACAATTGAAGCAAGGACATTCATGAAGCAGGACCAGCATTTGAATTAGTATCTGGTTATTCCCACACCACAGGTATGTTGTGTCTTTTTGGTTATGTTACAGCACCATCATTCTCAGATTCATATAAGACATTTACTTAGGTTAGTCATTACATTATTTATTGAATGATTTCACTTTGATGGATCCTTTCAAATAATGATTAAATTCACATCAGACTCCTAAGAGTTAGGTTACACCAACTAACTCAAGGAAAACAATTTTTTTTAATATCTGAAAACTTTTTTTTTAAAAAAAAGCAACATCATTTAATGTTTTACCAGATCTTAGATTTATGTATTACCTACTTTTTAAAGGATACTAAAGTGCTTTTTTGAATTTTTTATTTGATTTAATTTTTATTAAATTTTTTCTAATTCCTTAGATGAATATTTTCCTCCTGTTTTTACTTTGCTGTTTTAAATGTAAACCACTGACTGAATAGTTAAATAAACTATAATGAACATTAAATTTAAATTTGTAGTAAAAAATAATTTCCTGGTATTTAAGGAATAAAAAGGACGAAGAGCATCATGCTAACTATGGCAGTGATCTGTCAAATGCCACTGGAAAGAAAAATGCATATCTCAATAGGCCCTAAGACCAGGAGACAACTGTCTTTCTAAAGTGTGTAGAGTTCTACAAGGCTGCATGACTTTCTTGGGATTCAAGTTGTGCTGGCCCATTATCTGCTACTATGACAAAAGAACTGAAAGAATTAAGTTACAAAATAAAATTTATTTGGGCTCATGGTTTTGGAGGTTCCAGTCCAACATAGACTGTCCCATTGTGTTTGATATGGTGAGATATGTTATGGTAGAGTGTGTGGTAAGCAAATATCTCATTTAAGAGGCTGGAAGCAAAGGGACAGAGATCCAGTGGTGTCCTACAATCCTCTTCCGAGGTCAAACCTCTTAAAGATTTTCTCTAGTTCTCAATAGGTGTCTCTCTAAGAACCAACCTTTTGATACATGGACTGTTTGTGGTTTCAATATCTAAACTATCAAACATGATATTTTTTTCAAAATGGTGCACACATTTCCAAAATCAAGGTCTATTAAGTTTGACATTAATTTTACCATGCTCCCTACATTTCATATCTTTCCAGAAAGAAAATTTTTGATGTTGTTCTGACAACATCAGCCTAATTATGAGTGAATAATTGAACCACAGAACATGGTAATACTGCCAGGACATTTCTGCATTAAGACAGATAAAAATTATTATAAACCAAATTAAATGGATTATCTGGATTTAATATATTGGTCTTTCTCATCAGTTACTTTGGAGACATGTTGCCAACTTTATTCTTCAAATGTCCATCTCAATGTCTTTGATCTTGTGGACCTGCCTCCTGGAGTCAGGGCTTTCTAAGGCTCCATGCTGTCCTCTCACATTTGACTTCCAAATCTTCCACCGTATCTCTCCTCCCGCAGTCACTCTGCCACACCATTCTATATCATTTAGTAGTTTGTAGTTTTTGTTGCTTTAGAAATTATTTTGGGGCACATTCTGAAATCAGCAGATTCACTTCTGAAATCAGCAGATTCACTTCAATTACAGGTTTGGGAGCATGACTGGCTTCCGATTAGTGATATTCAGCTCATATCTGAACTACTCTAAATGCTCTAAAATTTGAAAAACTCCAAAACCTAAATTCTTCTGTTTCCATCCCCTGTCAGTCTGTCCTTTATTTACTTGCTTAGTGTCTGCATTGATCTCCTGAAGAGCACCTCTGTAAAGACAGGACCTTGGCCAGTAGTGTTGCACTGCCATGTTCTCCCCCTTTAATGTCTGGAAAACAATGGTGTTCAATATTGGTAGACAGAACAAATGAATGGTTCCTTTAAACCTCAGTTATTTTATTTTAATAAAGATTGCAATGGGCAAGCTGTTTAGCAGAGTTGTCTGATCTAAACTCAGGGGTGTGTGGACAGTGGATATGTGAGCATGTGAATGAGCTTTGTTGAAGGTGAACTCATGACCACATTTGGACTAAGCAGAAAGAACCTTCCCCTCACACTTCTATTATTTGGAGCGTGAAGTGACCAACTGCCTCTGTCAGTCATTTCTGGGAGTGTGAGAACTTTGTTCTTAGAAGTGTCAAATTCTTTGACACTTTGTGTGTCAAAATTTAACTCTTCAATTATAGTTTGAATTTTTGTCATGTTAAATTGAAAAATCCATGATTTTTAAG